AAACGTTTAAGCCTATGGCTTCATTTCAGGTTGTTGACATTAAACTTCACAAACAGGAGATGGACAGCAGATAACTTTGGTTTTTACATAGAAATATCTCATTGTGGTTCATACCACAAACATGGCAAGCTATTTCCATTCAGAAAAATGACCCGGTATCAGTGTAACATGAGACTGGACAAGCTCCCCATTTTTCCAAGCCCCTTAGCTCTCCTCTGCATCTCTTCCACTCTCATCTGGTTTGAGCCAGTAATGGGAACAACGTACAACATCCCTCTATCTTATATGAGATCACTAATGTTTCTCAAGTAATGTCAATGGAAAACTAGTCAGAATACTGACGTTAATGGTGTTGAGCATCTTGGAAAAGAAAAGCAGTCTCAAAGAGCTCATATTTGGAATAAACAGAGCCCATATCTCAAAAGGCTCACCAGTCACATCTCTGGTAGTTCTGTTCACATTTATCTCAAAGCTGCTATTTTCAGTCTTTCTATCTGTACTGGTTATTTTGGTTTGGATATCTCAATTAAGTAAACACTCCCAAATTATTTTGTAATTCCTTTTAAACTCTTACTCTCAGTGCTTTTGACAGAAAAGCTGACGTCCATTAGAATTGGCTAATGAATGAAAATCCTCTAAGTCCTTCAACAAAATGAACAAAACCACAGCCAGCCATCCTGTCCATTTGCCTTAAAGAGAAAAATCTGTCTCGCTGACCCAGCAGGCAATTGCATCAGGCTGAACATGCATCTCAGAGATGGGACACTACCAAATCTCTGATAGCAAGGTGGTGAAGATATAACGTCAAAATGGTTGCAAAGCATTGTTAGGACTTAGAAAGAACAAGAAAAGTGTGCTCCTGCTGTCAGATGACCTTTCTGAACTCCCACCTGCAGACCAGGGGTTAGAGAGCAAAAGGGAGGAATCCTTTTGTCTGAAGGTACGCCTCTGCATGCACCAGGAGGACGGACAGGGATCCAGGATGGGAGTACTTCTGTTCATCTGAGACTGAGCTTTTCCTTTTCACCAGAACTCATCTCACTGGTGATACCCCTACCATTACTGCCATCCACTTTGAAATGCATTATTCTGTCTGTATTTATGGTATAAATTCTGTAATAGAACTCCTTCCTCCTATGGCAGCAGTTTTCATCTCTTTTCAAAACAAAGTCAGAACTCCAAATCAAAAATGCAGTATGATTGATACCGCCCTCAGCAACTCATTGGTCAGAAAACTATATCTGCAGGGGAACAGAGTGTTTTATCACAAAAATCAAGACTTTAGATGATGATTTCCTGTCATAATCTATTTTCGTATTATTTTCCCATGACTTAAAGTTTAGTTGCTGTAATTATTTAGAAAATCTGCAGTTATATATTTATTTTGTGTATATGTATTTATTTACAAAAATTAGGCTGGCAAAGAAAGCTAGAAAAGTTGGATTATAAATAAAATTGTACAGAATATGCCTGGAGCTACTTTCATTCTTCTGTGGTCTTTCTGGGGGTTTTGCTTCTTTTTTTCTTTTTCTTTGTTTTTGTTCTTTTCAGCTGTGATAGCATAAGCAGAGCTCGATTTTCAGTAGGAATGCTGCCAGAAGATTACAAGCTTTTTTTGATGAACTATAAAATCTATCTTATTTGTGGGCACAACGAACAAACCATAGTAAGGATTTTGTTATTTTAATGAACAGTTACTGAAAGTATTATGAAATCTTAAACATAATCGAAAGGAAGGTGCAGCAGAGATACACACTTTTCCTTGCAGATTTACGTAAAAATGAAACTCGATTCTTTCACTGACAATCTCATACGGCCCATACTCCAAATAAATATTTTCCAACAGCACTGAACAAGGGTGCGCAAAATAATGTGATTACTGGTCCTTCTAAACGTAACATGCACGTGGTTCTGCCCCATGCATGCAGAGAGGTCCATGTGTGTCTGTACAGACACATACACGCATGCACAGGCTCACACACGCACACACTCCTTTTTCAACTGAAAAGAAAACCAACTCTTAAAAATAATAGCTACCTAGTAGCAGTTTCAGACACATCACTTCTACTTTTATAAAAGATTAAACCTGTGCAGTATGTTAAAAGCAAGAATTATCTACAAAAAGTTGAATTCAGCCTTATTGACCATTTCTTCAAATGAAAAAAGCAAGACAGAAGTAATTTTACTGGTTTTGAAGACAGTAGTAAACTAGAATTTCAGATCTACATGTCCCACAAAAATACAGAACCTCTGATTTTCAAGAAATACCTGACCTTTTGTTTTATTTCTGATCTTCTATTTTGAGTTTTCAGAAACAAATAACTACATGTGTCATGCATACCTGACTTACAATCATGCAAGTCATAGGAAAAAATATTTAAACTGACCAATTCAGGAAAAACTATGGAGGCAACACATACATTTCTGTATTTTTTTATACTTCCTTTAAAATACATGCTCTGTGTGAACAGCACACCTTCAGTTACTGAAGATCTGCAGCAGAAGATTCTACCTGGCACCACTTTTTGGAGGCCCATACACCTCCACACCAGTTTTAAAGCTTCAGAATTTGGATATTGGAACTGATTTTCACATAATCAGTTCTAAGGACCTAGTTTATGTTACATTGTCCAAAACAGTTTTTTTAAAAAATTCTCAATAGTGGAGACATTATTAAGTTACTTAGGCACAACACATTAAAATGAATCAGACCTTTTGTAGGTTTCTCCTCCTCTCTCGTACACTACACTACAAGAAGGAGGGTTTGGATATTGGAACCGATTTTCACATAATCAGTTCTAAGGACCTAGTTTATGTTACATTGTCCAAAACAGTTTTTTTAAAAAATTCTCAATAGTGGAGACATTATTAAGTTACTTAGGCACAACACATTAAAATGAATCAGACCTTTGTAGGTTTCTCCTCCTCTCTTGTACACTACACTACAGGAAGGAGGGAAAGTGGGTCCCTGATTTAGGGCATGAGTATTTAGTCTCCGACAATTTGGAAAACCTATCAAGTCTCATGTGTATATTGTTCTAAAAACATGCATTAATTCAACTCCCTGATTTCTGACATAATCTAACTAAAAAAAAAAGTGACTGACAAAAACCGCTACATTTTATTTGCTCTGCTTATACCACAGGTAGTACTGTTTGCCTAAGCCACAGCAAGGCAAAGTAAATATCATTCTCAACTCTGTTTTACAATCATGAATAATACATAATTGTACTTTTCATATTTGATTTGCTGTTTGACTTTCATTATAACTTTAGATGCTCCATTCCTTGCAAAATTCCTGTTGTTTTGAAATTTACCTCAAGCAACATTTGAAGAGCTATAATAGCTTTCTGTGAAGAATGGGAACATTCAAGCTTTAAACAGATAATGCAGAGAAGTGTTTGGAAGTCACAGTTTAGATTTTAAGTTCTTTACTAACTTCCCTGAGAAGAGTGAGTTTGGGCTCAGCCAAGGCAAATCATCAGCGCCCTGCACCTTCCCGTGGGGTGCACAGCCCTGGCTCCTGGGCAGAGCTGGGCTGCCGAGTGAGATGGAGCAAAGGTTTGCTCTGTCACAGCAATTCCTGCTTCAATGAGAATTAGGAGCTAGAAAGAAACACCAGATCAAACCGCAAAAACATTCTGTAAAATATTTCAAATATTTTGTTCTTTATAGTATGTGGAGTAAAACATCAACCTAAAATCCTTTCTATTACACAATACCACTTTTTATTATTTTAGGAGCATGTCAATGATTCTGATGCATCTAAAATAAGATCTTACTGTACACAACTATCTATATTCTAGTCTAACATGCAGGCAGAGTGCCTTTTTGAGCAACACAACATTAGCTACAATTCTGGGCTTCAAATACACATAACTACATCTATCATTTGGTCCAACTGCATGATTATATGCTTTCTGGCTTAAAATTTATAAATGAGTAGCGTAGAAAAGTATTACAACCTTTTTGTTAAAGCTGATCAAGCTTTACATTTTCAAAGAATTGATTTCTACTGCTCATCGGTCAATAAAAGAAAACCAAGGAAAAAGGGTGAGATATTTGAGGATATAAATAAACGATATTGTTACTTACCTTAGTTGAGATTAGCCTGACTATGTGAGAGCAATGCTGCAATATGCGTGCATTCTATGCTAGGCTGAAGCTTTTCCTCTTTCTTTTCCTCCTTTTAGTAAGAAAAAACCCTTAGGGTCAGGTCCTGCTCCCACTGAAGCCAAGAGCAAAAGTCTTCACTGGGGTTCAATAGGAACAGGACAGGGACTTTAAAACATTTTTTTCCCCCCCTTTTGTATCTTTCTGTATGAGCTTTTTTTCCTTCAGGCTATGCAGATATGAAGCTTTTAAGATTTCTGAAGTCACAATAAAGAGTTGGAAGTCTTATCTTCCTAATGAAGCATCGTGCTGTCATATAATTTATCTGAAATTACTGACCCCAATTTGCCAGTGCTGTTTTTAAAGAAAAAAATATTTGATTTACTCTTGACTAAGAAATCAAAGGTAGTTTTTAAAACATAATGTTTGCCACTACAGGTACAACCTTTTATCTGAGTTACGTAACTGCCATTCATTTGCTCAGATTTCAATTCCTCCGCTCGTACCCAACTCTTCCGCTGGAAGAAATTTCCTATATGCAAAAAGCTGCTCTTAGCCAAACCATTATCCAACTGTTGATACCCACATAGGCCTCTTTGCATTTCCTTGCCTACCTGTAAACAAGGCTTCTAGGAGATAAACACATTTTCCATCGAGCAGGACAGAAAGTTGTTACGGTACATATTCTAAAAGGCATTTTATATTGTTTCTTGCAGATGCCTAATGATCAAAGAAAATCAGTATCTCAGACATTTATTCATAGCTGGAAATTCTTCTCTCCTGAGTGGTCTATATCCATATACATGTAACACAGATGCCACAGATGAAATAATGGCAAACCACATTTGCTGAGAGTCCTGTTTCCGAAGAGCGTGTGTCTCACTCACCTGTTTGGCTAAGTTGAGATGTGCTTCTGCTCCTTCGAGACACTATGGCAACCACTTTGGCACTAAGGCTGGAACGCCTTTTCTTCCCACCTGTTCCAACCGTGCCGACAGCCGTGTCCGACTGACTCCCGTCATTGTGCTCCAGCTTATATATCTCTCCGCTCACACTTGTGCTCTTAGTGATTCTCCCTGAAGTCCCCATCCGTCTGCCTTGCATTTTAGGGGTAAATGTACTACAGTTACAAAGTAAAAAACAAACATGTTAATTTGTCTGTGTAACAGCATTTCCAAAAACCTTTTTTTTTTTTATTAGTAAATTAATTTTAAGTTTTGATACATTTTCATGTATTTGGTTCACAAATAAAAGGTTAATTTGGTGCTCCTCAGAGTATGTATTTCCAGTATTATAATTTGTTCTTCATTTGTTCCAGGAAAATAAATAAAATGAATGCTTTCTCATATTTTTCAGAGTGACAGAGACATGCAACACTTAGAAGTCACATGGAGCCCTCCTGTCTCTAAGCCCAGAATGCAGAAAGTAACTAACGAGCATTATTACGACCAAAGAAAATGAATATGGGCCAAGAGAATATACGCAGGTTAGTACACGTATCTTATTGGCACTGTTCACCAAAGCCTTAAGACCTAATAGATATGAAGAGATCATCTTCTATATTTTCACACTTCACAGAAAGTGGTAATATAATATATACCCTTTCCTTCTTTAAAGGTAAATGCAATTATCACAGTATGAAGGCAAAATACTTTTGAGGCAAAAAACCCTAATAACCCACTAGAACTTTCATTGATTGACAGAAAGATGAGCCGCTCTGTCAGTTCTGTTTGATTTTCTTCAGCTATGGCATCACATTTGAACGTTTCTATACAAATTCTTTTTCTGCTCCTGCACACAGAAGCTGGATAAAGTATTCAGAAACACGCTCAAGAGAACAATCTCAAATACACTGAGACATAGTCCTAACATCGCCACGACGAAGGGATGCCCTCGCTGTAATGGCAATACGAAGTTGGCTGGCACTCTGCAGGGACTCAGAAACTGCAGCTGCAGCCTGACTCACTTCAGGTGTAGCTGTGAAATCAGCCTAGTAGCTGGGAAACACCTTGATCTTGTATTGCTGATTAGTAGACCTACTGGCAACATACTAATTTTAGGGATTTTTTTTTTCAGTAATTCTGTATTTTGAAGTCAAATTTTGAATTTCTCTGTTGAGCGACAGTCCTTCTGTCCCTCCCACCAGGTTCCCTTCCCAGCAGATGTGATGGTCTGCTCCTGCCCCCCTCAAAAAATAAGAAAGAGGGAAGTTAGAGGTGGGGGTTTCTTTACGTCATGGCAAGTTTCAGACAGATAGGCAACCTTGCCGAGAAGAAAAGAAGGGGTCTATGGGAGAAGAACTGACACCCTGTGACTGCTACGGATCTGGGCCCTGCTAAAGCTTACATCAGTCCTGTCCAAAAAAAGATCCAGGAAAGTATAAAATAATGTATACCTAAATTCTATTTTACTGACAATTACCAAGATTTACTCATGTGTGACCATAGGTAAGAACAGATAAAATAGACAATATATTTTGAAGAAGCTGGAAAAGTCAAGTCCCTGAATAGACAACCCTTCATATAAAGGTCATTGCCAATCTCTGCACAGGCATTTAACTACATTCAGCACTTAGGATCTGCTCCTGTAAGTTCAGATAAAAAAAACACCTACCACCTTCACACAGAACAAGGTGCTCAAGAACACATTTCAGTGGACCATCTGAGGCACGCTGAGCTTAAAATAGGTTCTCTCTTGCTCCCTCCTATCCCACTGTGACTTTAGCGACTGGCTTTTAGGATTGCATAGCAAAAATAGGACATATGTATTTTGATGATTCTATGTAAAATTCCTGTGCATTTACTGTAGATTTCCCCCAGCACACACTCACTCATATATATGTGAGCGCACACACACACATCTGTTCAATCATTTTACGAAGAATTTTAACTGCACTTTTTGATCATTTAAAAAAAAATAATCAAAAAAGACCATCTTCCATAAATATGCAAGTATCAAAGAAAAGGTTTTGTGTAAGGTAAACTAGTTCTGTTTGCTTAAAAATAATATCAAATTGGGAAAAATACCCTAAAATATTTCCCATTTTCAAAATAGAGACTGATTTTCTTGAGGGAGATAAATATTAATTTCTTGGTTTTAATATAAATCATGCCCCTAATATAGTACAGGTCTTTACTTTGTAGGCTACATATACCGCTGCTTTTTAAAGTTGCAATGATCACTAAATGATGATAATTTTATTGTTCACAGAATGCAATAATCTCAACTTTACAAAATATCTAACTCAACAGCTACTTTTCTTTCAAGTAACACGGATTTCTTTCTTTACCTCTCCACAAACACTGTAACTTGAAAAAATATGAATTGGGATTGCCACATGGAGTCATTATTCTTCAAACAGCAAACTAATTTTAAAAAGCAGTGATGAACATCACAAAATTCATGCTGAAACTTCTGATCAAAATGATCTTCTACAATTTGAGAAGATTTAGTGAAGTTTATCTTTCTTAATTTTGGAGCTGAATATCAGTCCATAGCTCTAGCACAGAATTCTGGTTATAGCCAGAGAATCTTAGGAATTTTTCTCTCTTTAAGAAGAAATTATGTCACTAACTTGCACACTTACCAAGAAAACCTTAAAACTAGAGATCAAATGTACAGTGTGATAATAACGTCTGAATATGCAATCAACCTGCATCATTAGCCCGGAGTGCTGTCACACAATCCCCGCATTCCAACAGAAACGTCGATCCCTCATTCAGCGTGTCAGGGCTTGCCAACGTCATTCCTACGTCAGCCAGTTTCCCATGCTGAGCCCCCCTTTCCTCCTCTGCTGAGGAATCAAGGCCCCACCCTGGTGCCCATCGGGTGCTAAAGGCAACACCTCTGATGGGTTTGCTTCTCTGGAGGAGGAGACACTTGGCCATTTCAAGCAGAGGGCAGACCAAAAGTACAGTCTGATACTTGGAGGGGGCAGAATCACACAGGCCTCATTTTCAGGGGTCCTATTTTGATTTTGTATTGATTTTGGTCTACTGAATAGCAAGTGTTTATGAATATAATAAATACTAATGATGTTTTTACGCCAGTCTTCACTTTTTTGTACAATGGAGCTGAAATGTTCTAATCTCACATTATTTAATAAGAGTTTAGGAGACAATGATGCCCATATAAGAACTGATAGTATCATAACTTTAGGAAAACTCCACTTTTAATTCCCTAATTCAAGGACTATGAATACTTTCTGAATAATAGATAAACCGCTTTTTCAAAGACCCACATAAATTTCAATTTTCATTCTTTGTGACAGGTAGAGGGACCTAGAAGATTCATCTTAATAAAAAGAAGATTGAGATATTTGGAATTCAGATTAATCTTGTACTTGTTTTTACCTTGCAAATATCAAGTCCTACTTTCCCAGGAAATATGTTCTAGTGTACTAACAATAGCTATTAACTTGCTAGAAATAGACTTAATAGGATAGGACCAAGGATCAAATTCTACAGCTGTCCAATACTTCCCCTTGTCATAACTAAGCAAACAGAATAAGATTCTTTTGTGTTCATCTAATCCCTGGGCTAGTTTATTATTTGATGTTAATTGGAAAAGTATCAAAAGAACGGGCATTTAAAATTCAGTCTTCCTATACCATCTAATTGAGTACCCTTAGAACACAATACCTTTCCATTCCATTACTGGTTATCGCTTGGAGAAATAGCTCCTAGCTCACACTGTTATTTTCTTCAATATGGTTAGAGTTTATTTATTTAATTTATGAAGCACAAAGAAGTAAAATACCTGCATGAATTTACATGTATCTTTTGCACCTAACTCTTCCAATAACAACTTATTCAAAATTTAATTTTCCTTTACTGGACTCGCTGGGATTATTTACACATTCATTTAAATGCAGATGCAAGTTTTTGCAGGCCTGTGGCTAAAATTGGTAAATTATTAAGTTGGTTGTTGATTCAAACCTAGTTATCATAACACAATAAATACAGTTTTCAGTAGTAGGATAACTAAGAGTAACATGTTTATCAGTATACTCCATTTATTTCTAAATGAAATAATTCACTACATTTTTATTTAAAATCATTTCACCATCTTTAGCAATTCTTTCAATGACTAGTTCAGCAAAAATCTTTTGCCATTTCTAATTATCGGCATAACAACATCATCACTATGTATATTAAGAACAGTTACAGACAATCTATCTGTGCCTTTGTTTTACTTCACAGATATTTAGCATGGAAAAGAAGTCACCTGATTTTTAATTTTTTTTTTTTTTTTAATTGAAGTAAACCACTGAAGCAAAAACCCCATGAACCCAGCAAGAGCAGAGCCACCCCCCAGCCTGGGCTCTCCTTCAGCACGGGGGTCACCGACTACCCCGGGCTCCTGTATCAGACAGGAAGACACTTGTCCCTTGACTGAGGGAAAAACGCTTACATTTTCCTGTCAGAACTTCTGCAGTTGTGCTGGATCCTATCTAAAGTGGGTTCGGTACTACAGAAGGCAAAAATCAAGACTGTATTCATGTGTCAGCCCTCAAGAGTTGTGAAAGAAAGCAGCTCTTTCAGTTTTGCAAACTGCTGCTACCTGAAAGTTGTACTCATATCTGTGAGAACAAAGAATGAACTATTAAGATAAAAAAAACTTATTCAAAGAGTACTGTGAGTTACAAGCTGCCATAAAAATGAACCCTGAGGTAAATTCTATAAAATGAACACACTACAAGGACATTGTGGATTATACTTGCTTATATTCAACTATAGCATACGCAACTATGTAGAACTGAAACAAAGCCAATTACATGTGTTAAATCATTGTATATCTTTCTGCGTACAGATATCCAATACATATATTTAAGGTGCCTAAAATTAAACTGGAAAAATTATTTGGATTGAGGAAATTCGTATACAGATATATGCTCAGTATTTCTCAGTAACTACACAAAATACCTGCCAATAATACATATCACCTGAAAAAGAAAGACAGTAACACACAGGAAGCTAGAACAAACTTTGCCCATAAACTCACCTATATAATATCTGGAAGTATATCCTTTTAGGGAGAAAATCTTAAGTGATTAGCCATTGCTAAAATTACAGTATTTCCTTCATTCTCTTACTGATGATTTATAAAAAATTACTTTAG